ATTCCTGGGGGGGGGGGGGGGGGAGTTGTGGGGTTACAAACAAGCATGTAAATTTGAGAACAGCTTGTTTTTCTATCGTTTCCTTTCTTCTATGTATATTATTTGTCAAGTAGTGGAACATCTCTATTCTGCACAACAGTGGAATGTAAGCTTGTCGAACCTCTCTCTCTTTTCTCACTCCCTCTCTCACACCAGGAAGTTAAACTTACAACTAGAAACAATTTACTTATGATATATAATTGACGATCATAAAAAATATCTAATGAATTATAAGTTCAATATGTTATGTTAGATAGAAAAATAGATATTTTTCTCCATCGATGCTTGAGCATGAATGGAGCTTGCTTGATAGAAAGCAGTTTTTTGTTCTATTTCCTTATTTGCAAATTGAAAACCCTAAACCTCCAATGCACTTTCAAAACCCAAATTTAGAGACCTTAAATAGAATCACAAAATGGTTCAAGACAAGGTTTAGTATTTTCGTATGTCAATCAACCGGCAACTCTGAATTCAATTGCCACCAGCGTACAAAGAACAAACAAGAAAAGGTAACACTGCATCTGGAAGGAACTTGACTGCAATACAATTAAGGCTAGCAACAGAACTCCACACAGCAGAATAATAATCAGGTTGTCAATCCAACGCGGAAATTCCCTTGCAATCAATCTGAGTTGGCTGCCATTGAAAATATTTGCACCAGATCGACAAGGTGGAGAAATTTCTGATCTTTGCCGCGTTGGACGGCTAGGGATTTCAGTGCCTGGTAATTATGGTTTATAAGTTATAATTTGATGTAAACTGAAACAAATTAAAGTAAACTGACTAATTTAGTTTGGTTTGATTTGATTTAGGGCTACGAAACGAACCTGAAATATAAATTGGTATTGAGTGAGAAGAACCGCCGGCTGTTGCACAAACAGGAATCAGTTTCTGGTGATGAATGGGAGATTTGCATGCGGGACATTGATGTGCTAGCGAGTAAAAATGGAGCCATGTATATAGACAAGGCCAGCAGAAAAGGTGACCGCAGAAGCTCACAACTGCTTCTTTGGGAGATTGAAAGCAGATGTTGCACTCCAAATGCTTCTCCTCTTCTTCTTCTTCTTCTTCACCATTGCTCTTGCTTGACCGATTACAGAAATCATTCAATGATGGTAAACCACTGCTCTTCTCCATCTTTTAATCATTAATTTCCACCGCTTTCATCTTCCTGCACATTATCATAAACTAAACTCGATTTCATTGCAATCTTCAATTTTAATTGTCATATATATTCGTCTTCAACTTTAATTTATGGAGTTAATGCGTCTCTTCATCATCCTCTCTCTTCTCGATTCTTCCTTTTGAAAACCCGAGGGGTTTTTCTATTTCTTCGCTTCATCTTCATTAAGACGGAACGGATTTTGCGGCCTAACGTCACGGAAGTCTCATCTCCTTCCTTATTCCTCTTTTAATCTTGGGACGGCGTCGTTTTATATTGTTTGTTCATGGGCTTGGTTGACGGGCTTCGTTTGATCTTTTTTCATTTCTCCTTTTTCTTTTATTCAATGAGATGTGTTGAATTAAACTGGTTAAAAAGAATTAACTAAAAAATAGATAAAAAAAAGGTTTATATCTGAAATAAAATTAAAAATTTAATACAATATAATTCTTATTGGTTTAAAAATATTATAAACTAACGATTAAATTATAATAAAAGTTATTTGGAATTAAATTTAGAACATGATGGTAAAATAATAATAAATTTTTAAAAAAGAAAATGAATAGTAGGTACAGAGACAGGAGGAGGATGCAGTGTATTTTAGTTGGGGGTTGGAACTGTGCATCTTCGTTTTCCCATAAGACAAGACTCCAAACATCTACGTGTTTGGTTTCACTTTGAATTGTAGGGTCCACTACAAGAAAACATAAAGTCAAAATTTTTGTGCTTGTAGACCTAAAAATTATATATATGTATATATATATATATATTTATGTAAAATCAACAATTAACATTTAATTTTTGAAATATTTATATATTTAATTATAACGATATATAATTTACTTATTTATTTTAAATGTAAAAATAAATTTTGAATATTTTAAATTAATATTAGCATAATAATATAAGTAATTACTTAATTTGATAATAATATATAATAATTATCTATTTAAATATTTTAAGTATAAAAATAAAATGTGATTATACAATTATGTTAGTTACAAACTCAAAAAAAAGTTGTACATTATATAAATTGTCGATTGTATTTTTTTTTCACATTTCATATATTATGTACATTTTTAACTAAAAATTAAGATGTAATAATTTTTTATTCTTATATAATTATATTAACATAAAATAATGTAACCTGAAATATTTTATGTTTATTTTGTGATATATATATATATATGTTTTTATTTTTAAGGATATTTTATATATATACCGAAGAATTTTATGATAAAAATTTTTTATAATTTATTTATTAACGGGCTGTGTTCTCTTATTTTTTAATTAAATTTATTTTGTTGTAATTTTTCAGACATTTATGTTGTATTTTATATAATTATAAAAATTTATATTATGTATATAACACATAAAAGGAATCTAATGAATAGAGGTATATACATATACACACAATAAAGATACCAGTCTATGGACAGTTGTAAGAGCCTTTCACTTTCATTTTTAATCCTTCAAACAAAACCTACCCCACTCCTTTTCATTCCAAAGCAAACTTCTACAAGCAACCCTTTATTCTTTCTTTTTAAAATTTCATTTTTATATTTCTACTCTTAAAAAACTTATTTCAACCAAATTAAAATAATTAGATTAGATTATCCCAAATTATATCTAATCCGGTTGCTTATTTCAAAAATTATAATTATGATTTGATATTAATTAAAATAATTTTCTATGTGATTTTCAAAAAAAAAAATTAAAAGTTATCCAAAGGTTCAAAATTAATGATATCTTAATCAACCTCTTGATTTTTTAAACTATTTTTATTTTATTTTTTATAAAAAAAAAAAAATTCCAATTAATAATTGAAAAGAAATATCAAGGAAGCCTATCTCTGAAGCAATTCTCTTCTTCGGTGGGTCCCGGTGGGACCGCCCTCCCTTTTGTCAGCTTTTACAAGGATAAGCTCTTCTTTATAAAAAAATATTTTAAAAAAATAACAAAAGAAATTGTCAATAATTTATTATTTTTAATTTCTGATTTCCCTTAAAATGGATTTCAAATTTCAATCTCTCACTCCAGAAAGCTAGAGAGAACCGAAACACCATCATCATGGTGGCCTTTCCTCCTCCTCCCACTCGTCTTCTTCTCATTCGTCAAAATTACTCCGTCAAAACTCTCACCCAGTAATCCCACACACCCATCTATTAATACCCACTTGCCAAAATCCAAAAGATTTAATCCAAAAAACAATGGATCTTGACGAGTGGGAATTCCTCCCCACTGATGGCTTCATCGATTTCGATCAAGATCGGGATCACCCTCAACCAAAAAACTTTGTGGGTAAACGAGATAATACCCAACCTAAATCCATGTTGAACATGGATTACTTCATCTGTCCTTCCTCACCTCCTTCCATCCCTAATCAAATTGTTCGCCTTCCCCTCCTCCCTGATGATGATCATCATACGGCGTCGTTTCCCAAACAAATCACTAACCTGCCTACCCAACCGACACCACCCTCCGCCGATCAGATCATCATCAACCCTCCTCCGAAAATGATGGGATCTGTTGAAGCTGAGTCTGATCAAGATGGGGTTTCGCAGGTTTTCTTCAAGAAGAAGGAGAAGGACCAATTAGCCGACATGAAAATTGAGAAGAAGGAAAATGATCAATTAGCCGACATGAAAATTGGCTCGCCGAGAGCCGCTGTGGGTAGAGTGATTCTGCCTCAGATTGACAGTGTTCCACTCAAATTTGATAGTGATCAGACCATGGAGAGTAAGATCTGTGGTAGTAGTCCCCGAAAGGGGGTGAAAGGGGAACGGGATGAGTTGGATTGTTGTGATGGTAACGATGGTGGGTTTGACTTGTGGAAGTGGAGTTTGACTGGGATTGGAGCTATTTGCTCGTTTGGGGTTGCAGCTGCTACCATGTTTATTGTTATTTTGGGAACTAATAATCACAGAAACAAACAGCTGCAGCACACCCAGAAGCTTAGGTTTGAGATTTATGATGACAAGGTTTTTACAAATTCTTCACTCCGTTCTTTCATAATTTTTAGATTTTTTATTAGAATTTCATTCTATATACATCAATCGTAGCACAACACAGACTGAAAACACAAGACAACTCAAACTAAAATCATCTATTCAAGTAAATAGTAGTTGACTTTTCTAAATTTTTAGATTAATTACTCATTTCATTAAGATCGCACATAATGGAATTGTATTTTGCATCTGGGAACTTCTGCCTGTTTATTTTCATCTGGGTTAGAAGTTGTTTAACTTTTTTTTTTTTTTTTTTTTTTTCTAATTTTGTATTTTGCAGGGAGATTAATTTAAGTATATTATGATTAATTATGGGATTCTTTTGTTTTTAGCAGAGGATTAAGCAAGTGGTGCAGCAGGCAAGCAAGCTGAATGAAGCAATTTTTGCAGTAAGAGGAGTGCCCATAAACAGAGCTCCAATATCAATTGGTGCTCACTATGATGGTCTTTAAGGCAATGGAATATTGGAATTGGATGGAGCTGGCTGTGATGGATTAATTAGTTAAATAAATAATTAAGCTAGTTTTTTGTGGATTTATTATTAATTAATCAATTAGTCAAATAGGGTCTTTTCAGTTTTGTACATAATAATATGCTACCTATGCGTGTGTGTTTGTGTGTGTATATATATATATAAAAGGGATTTGCATGTTAGGGTGCGTTTGTTAATGTTTGAGTTTATTAGTAATTATGTATAGATTAGATATTAAAGGCACTTAATTAAAAGTTTGGCAATAACTTTATAGTTGGCTTTTAGTGATTTGTGTATTAATCAAGCACTGCCTAATTTAATTAAAAACTTATACATGGGAGTTTGAAGTATCTAATCCTCTATTATAATGTGGTGAGGTTGCCCACACAAACGTGGAAGTTAACCCAAATTTAGTGTGTGTGTATATATATATATAAAGTGTGTAAGCATTATTTTGATGCATGTGGAAATAAAGGGACTAATTAATTTTTTTTAAAAAAAAAAATCTAGTTGACAATACACAAAATATATAAGTTACAATATTAATAATCATTAGATGTCAACTTGGCCACGATATATATATATCTATATATCTATATATATATATATATAATTTCTTGAAATCTTTAAGATATTTTTTATAAGCAATGAAAGGAATGGAGTGTACAACCAAAGCCATCCAAATTAGATTTATTGAACCATGACCAACTTGTCAAAGCCATTATTGATCTTGCAAATGTCAAACCGATTTGGTACTTTTTATTGTCTTCATTTATTAAATTATTTTTAACCTCATATGAAATTTTCTTTTTTTTTTTTCATTTTAGAACTCATATATTATATAACATGTTGGAGTTATGTGAACATCTCTAAAATAAAAAATCGAATCAATAAAACCAAACATTACAAAAGTGAGATATGCATTTAGTTTCTAAAATCCAGTGTTCATTATAATTTAATTCTTAATTTTTTGTTTTATAATTTGATCCTAATTGTTTTATTTTTATCTTAAAAGTATAGTTTTTTAATTTAAAAAAATAAGATAGTTAAGTTATATTTGAATATTTTAAAAAAATAATTGATTTTAAATTTTCAAATAATTAAAAATTAAATTTCTATTTTTTAATATTTATAATATGCTTTAACTGTAAAAAGACTGGAATTTAAAGTAAATGAATTAATATTTTAAATGCGTAAGTAAACGATAAAGTTAGGATTTACATTTCTTACACAGTAAATTAGAATGTCTAATAGAGTTACTGGAATATTTATTCTACAGCGATTCATAAAACAAACAATTAAATTATTGAAAATAGATAAATAAATGTCCTAAGGTGTTAACTTCTACTAGTACTTGATGAGATTCGAGAGTTAAACTACTCACAACCCTCTTATTGATCGGGATCTATATTGTGGATTTCTTGATTTGAAATAGTTAATATAAGGGTGAGTTATACAAGCTTAGTAAGAATATTACACTAATCACTGATGCGAAAAACGAAAGGTTAGTAAAAATCACAAAATAACTAACAGAGGCCTTACTTTAAGTAAATTCATTTAAAATTAAAACGTTTATTTCATACTCACCGCTACGAGTTTACCAAAATCAACCTAATAAGATAAATATTCATATGACATTATAATTTTATGTACAAGTAAACGAGATCAACAATTCTCCTTTTTACCTGCTTACTGGAACCACTGAGGGTCTATAGGAATATTCCCCTACCTGTGAACCTAATATCTAAATTTGTCAATTAACTTGGCCTTTTTTCATAACCCATCTTGTAATAGGCGTCAAACATATCATCATTTCGATACCCCGTCCAGTATGAAGGTGAACCATATCTTCCAAACTCTTCCGGTATAGGACTTCTCAGCTCTGTCTGAGTGAAATAATGCGCACAGTAAGATTATCTATGTACCAGGTTCATCTAACTTTTTCCAAGGTATCCATTAAGCTTTTTTTACATGGAATCCCAACACAAACCAGTTATCAATTACATGCTAATATTTTATGTTTCCAGATTAATGATAAATCATACAAATAAGCGTTACGTACATCAATAATATAATTGAGACATTTATTGCATGACAAACCAGAAAAGGAGAATGTGCAATGAGGTAAACCAAACAACCGAGAAAATAATTAAAACCATTAATTTAGTATGCATAATATAACAATAAGCAAATTAAATAGTACAAGAAAAAAAAAACAGTGAATCAGGGTAAATATGAATTGATCGGTTCTGACTCCACTAGTGACATGTAATTATATTTAGAATTTTTTTAATTTTTACAAAATACAATATTTTAGATTATTTAAGCATCAATTTATCGTAATAGGAAATAGGGAAAAAGATTCTTAGTAGATCGGGTTTCGAAACATCGTGTTATCTACTACGCCTCCTCACGGTCATTGGGTTTCCTGATTATTTTTCTACGAAAATTAAAATACTCATTATGTACCCAAAAATATCCCAAAAGGCCAAAATCAGTATTGACAAATTTTTCTGACAAATTTTAGGGTTTCAACAAGGCAGCGCCGCCGTGCTCCAGCGTCGGCTCCACCGCCCAAGGCAGCGGTTCACCTCGACCTAGCCAGTTTCGATCAATTTATGCCGATTTTACACGTATACTTATGAAAAATACGTCAGGGAACTTCGTTTGGTCAAAAAAGTTAAAAAAATCAAAACCTACTGGTCGGGAGGGGGTCTCCAGGTGCAGCGACTCCGCCGGTCCTCCTCCACGGCTAGGGTTCCTCTTTGGCTAACCTGCACCGGAAAAAGATGGTTAACATGGTGGTCAAATAATCGCGTAAAATAAAAAATGGGAAAGGGGTAATCGGAGAGAGTTTCAGATTTTGGCCGCGGTGGCTCGACCGAGCTTTGCCCGCAATTTTTGACTCACCCGTCGATCTGTTAGCTCCGACATGGCCATATAGAGGCTTGAGATTGAATTCCAAACGGGAAGGGGGAAAAAAGTATCTACTTTAGCATCGACTGTGGCTCTAGTGCGGCAGTAACAGAGGTCAGTTTCTTTTCTGACCGCCCTTCTTCTTCTTCTCCAGCAAGGACTGGTGCGGCTAGGGCTAAGGTTCCTTAGAATGCGATATTTAAATATCATCTCCATGTTGATCTGGATCGTCTGTGCGGGGACAAGTGGCTCTCTCCTGTCCGTTGGATCTCTCTTATACATGGAATGAATCTGGACCGCACAATCGGATTGAATCGACTGTTCAATCGTACACGAAGGGAAAACCTATCTGAGTCGTCCGTACGCGCGGGACGTGATCTAGACCGTCAGATTACTCGTGTGGTGCCGATGTTAATGTGTTTTTCCACGCAGCGAGCTCAGGGTTGTCGTGGTTGCTGAATAACCCGTCTCGCGTGATTAAATTTTTCTTTTTTACGATTTTACCTTATGTTTTCAAGTTTTCTTTTAAAAATACATCTCTTATTCAAAATTTTACCCGTTTGCTCCAAAATTATTTTCAATTTCATCCATAATTCATTTTTTTCCTCAAAAATTTAATAAAATTTAAATTGAAATAATTTTTTAATTATTTATATATTTAATAACTGAAAAAAAAAATTATCTTGAATTAATTTTTGGATCCGGTTATTATGTTAACTATTTATTTTTTGAAAAAATTAAAATTTTAAAAGTATATGTGAAATAGTAAGAAAATATCGGAAAATAGATTATGATGAGTATGAAACAAATTTAGTAATTCAAACTAATTTAATAATTTTGCAATGAAACAAGAAAAAAAGAAAATTGGAAGATGGAGAGGAATGTTCACCGTTCACCGTGCACAGTGCATGATTGTGATGGTGGTGGGTGGGTTCCATGGATTGTTTGTCATGTGGCCAACATTTTTACGATAATCATGATACTGAATTTGGAATCTTCAATCGTACCATCTGCCCATGTGAATTTTGTTTTGCTTTTCGTGTAATTAATTATCAATTAAATGTCAGATTACAACTATTAACATATATATATATATATATATTTATATAAAGAATTCTGTAAGGATGGTGGTAGTCCAACTTGATGGTGCTTGCTATTCAATAAATACACATACTCGGAGGAAAACATTTTGTACATACATACATACATACATACATACATATATATATATATATATTACAAACACAAACACATTTATATATGTCCTGTATTTTTCATGTGTATTTGTGTGTGCGGTAAAAATGGTAGAGTTTATCCCTCCTCCTCCCGGGATATAACACGGTTGATGCGATGAGATTTGATTTCTTGTTCTACCAACGACAATAATAAGGTCAGGGTGTTAAGTTAATCTTATAATTTACTAGTTATAATTTACTACTTACGATTTAATATTTTTTAAAAAATAAAAGTTGCATGTTTAGCGAAAATAACTTTTAGTTTTTGGGTTTCAAAAGTACTTTTACAAAAATTTAGTAAAAAATAAAATATTCTTATTAATTGTCTGAAACCAAAATAAGTTTAAATTTAAAAACTATAACATGTAAGTTTTAGAAAATAATTTTACTTTTTACTAGAAATTTATACATAAAATGATAAAAAAATTATTTTCACCGATACGGTAGTTTAGTAGTTAAAATTCTTATATTTTACTTAAAAGTCATGAATTCAAATCTCACTGAAAACACAAGAGTTGTTACTTACTTGATATGTACATTATAAGTTGGTGGTGATTGATATATCATGTTTGACTTATTAATGTTAAATATTTAACTCCTTATTGTTTGGTTTTAGAGCCATGACGCAGTTGAACAAAAAAAAAAATGATCTACCCAGTAAGTTTTTTTTATTGGAATATCTACGATGATGCCAAGAACCTGATCTAATTTGAGAGCATTTTTAAGACTAATAGCAAAAACTATAAGTGCTCCAAACAATGACTTAATTGTGGTGAAGATTTAATATGATGTCACATATATGATGAAAGTCATCTTCTAAAGAAATATGAAACTACTTTTGGGATTTATAGTCCTAAAGGAGATTGATATTATTGTATTAACTTGAGATTACTATAGCACAACTATGCTATAATTGTCAACTATCTACTCATATTCCCAACTTTGCATATTAAAAAATGTCTCATTGAATTGTTAGTCGTATAATTAATTTAGTAATTAGTGGGTGTATTATTTTATAAGATCATGAGTTTAAAATTAAACTATTGTTCTTTAAATATGTTTATTTAGATATAATTAATATATGTATATCATTTAATTAGTAGATATATATATGTATATTACTAAAAATGAACAAGATAACCAAAATATGCTCACATTAAAACTGGGGGAACTGAAGATATTTGGGGATTGGTCCTACTGGGCACGTAAATGTTTGGTTGAGGTTAGCAGAGGCTTGAAGGTGAAGTTATGGAAAGGATGGCAACAGCAATTATTATTGCGGCCAACACATTCAACAAGCGCCATTACTATTGCCGGCTAACTTGCTCTTATTTTAAACTTTATCATATACAAATATAATAATAATAATCTCTCTCTCTCTCTCTCTCTCTCTATATATATATATATATATGTACACACACACACATATATATATATGGTTGTTTAATGGTGCACATCAGATGTTCACGTGAAAGATAAGATACTTATATTTACAACTGCAAGTTTGTGGAGAAGATCACATTATGAGATTTGAACACCACCTAAATTATTATTATTATATATAATTTCTTTTTATAAAAAATTTAAAATTGATTAAAATTAAAAAAAAAAAATACAGAGAATAAAATGTACCAAATTTGAAAAAACATAAATTTGTAAACTACTCATGTGAAATTGAATTATATTCTTCCCTGTGAAATTCCTTGCAGCTTCTGTGAAATTCATCAAAATAAATTCTTCCCTAGGGTTTCAAATTAATTCTGACAATTTAGTATTTTTTTATTATTATTATTTAGAAAATGTTCTTCATTGTTTTCTTTTTCGAAATTCAATTTTCTTTGGCTTTAAAAATTTCAAACCAGACCCAACGAGAAGAACAATTACTAAATTGCAATTGCTGTGCAATTTGATTTACAAACTAATAGGATATAAAATGGAAAAAGAAAATGTTAAATATTAAATAATATCAGAAAGTGGAAGGAACAGAAATGGTGGATACAACAAATTCATCCCTAACCTTAAGACACTTTCTGATTTTTCAGCCTCTCTTTTCAATTCAACCCATTTCTGATTTTTCACTTCCTAATTTTGGGGTCGTTTTTTATTTTTATTTTCTTAAAATGGATGCTTTATAAATTTTCTCCTAATCACTTTTTAATTTACTTTTAAGAGAAAAAAAAAAAAAAAAACAGTGATAGAATTTTTATGCGTACATGCATGACACTAGTAAGAAATATTCAAACCAATCTAGGAAAGGATCAATGGAGGACTGTTCCTCACCCTCAAACTGGTTCGATTTTGCTGTCAGCCTCTGTCTGAACCAAACGGTGTCGTTTCATTTCCACCTTCTGGTTATTCTAAAGGCTAATTTACTCTCCTCTCTACACAACCAAATCAAAACAAAAACCATTTTCAATGCACAAAAAGTACAATCAGAACAATCAATTCTTCTCATCTTCCTCCTTCCCTAGAACAAAATTATTCAACTCGATTAACGAAAAACAATCGAGAGAAGATGAGATGATGTCCGAGGCTGCTTGAGGGACAATTCATGGAAGAAATTTTGAAAAAAAGTCCCCTCAAAAGGCCCGAATAAGATTACGTCAAGTATGTTGACGATCCTAATTAATCTATGCCTCCTAACTAAGCCTAAATATGACAGTCACTTTATCAGGCTACTCAAAGAGGCAAATCGTCGGCTATTTCTGCAATCACCAAAATCATTCGAAACCCTAATCCGAATCTCAAACCAAAAAAAAAAAAAAAGCACAAACAGAGATGGAAGACAACCAAAAGAAACAAAAATAACATACAAGACGAAGAAGACTAGTGACGGCTGCTTTGCCAGCAGAAGTACCTCCGCCACTGAATCTGCTGGTGTTTTATACTTTTATTTTGACAAGAAACGAGAGCTAGGGTTTTTCAACTGAGGAGATTCGAGGGGGTGTCATATAATGACTGTCATGTCCTCAAGATGGTTCCGAAAATTACAGGTTTACCACTCAGTTACATGCCGTTATTGGAATTTTTTTGGAAAAAAAAAATTATTTAATTGAGATAATACATTTTAAAAAAAGTTTAAGTTGCTGACTCACTATTTTTTTTTTTCAAAAATAACTTAAATTTTTAAATTTTACCTGAACATATTATTATTGTCAACTATATATCTAATACCATTAAATAATTTTTTAATAAAAAATATTTTTGTGTGAATATCAATTTTTAAAAATATTATTAGCATCACGTTCATTTCGTAGTTAACAATCTTTATATCACTTCTTTTTTTTTAATTCATTTTTTATATCTTTAAATAATTATAAATTTATAAAATACTATAAAAATGACATAAAACTAAATTACTTTATCCTATTTAAATAATAAAAATTACACGTTATAATTATAAATAATTATTAAAGACGTCAAAAAATTGAATATATAGATATTAATAATTTTAAATCTTAAATGTACTTATTAATATCTATATATTTATTTTTTTGGCATCTTTAATAATTATTTATAATTATAACATGTAATTTTAAAGTAAACATCAAAAATTTGAGTTGTACCAAATGTTTGTTAATTTTTATAGAAAATTTTTAAGTAACTGTTATTTGCATTTCAACTTAACTTTTAAATACAAATGATTTACTCTTTAAAAAAAAATTTAAATTAATAATACTTAGACATAAAACATTTGATCGTGTTATACGGATTTATTATAAAGTATCTATAATTATAGTTGAGGTAATGGGTCAAACATTATTGTAGAGCGATGATAATCTTAGGAAGGAATCAACGGAGGCTAAGATTAAAATCTTAAGAAGGCTTTGTAATAGATAAACTACGATGAAATCAAGAACAAACAACGATTATAAGATTATCGTCAACGGAGTTTAACAAAATTATAAAGAGAATGAATCTTAAGCAAAAAAAAATTGAGAGTTATAGAAGAGTAAAATTAGCGATTTGAATTTTACTCAATTTGGAGAGTTCCACCTGTTACATTTAGATAAATTTATGAATTATTATAATAGTTAATTTGATACTTATATGTCCAAAAAATTAATGAATTAAGTTATTAGTTCAAAAGTTATTATAGGGTTACAAAAAATTGTATCATATTTGCCTTTAGATTTTATTTCTCCAAGCTTTATGGATATTATTCTATGCATATTACCATTAGAATTTCTCAAAGTGTGTTATAATTTTTATATCAATATATTCGTTGATTTTGCAATCTACAATTCATTAATGAAAACATATATATATATATATATATATGTAAGCACGAATGCTTGTATATAATTTCATAGTGTGACTGATAAATACATTTTTATGAATTTAAAGATTAAATTTGAATATTTATCTTCACAAATAAATACTAAATCATCTTAAACACATGATTTTAATTATATATATATACATATACACATACATTTAGGGACTGCAATTCATCTCATTTTATGAAAGACCTGAATTTTCATTAGAATTTGAAAAGAAATTATTTTTGATCTCTATAATTATCGGGTTTGTTTAAGCTTAAATATAATTAATTTAATAACAGAAGTTCTTAATTAAAAAAAAATTAGACAGAAAATAAGAGTGAATTACTCAAATACAAAACAAAATAAATTCAAAATATTATTATACACCGAAGGCCAATGATAACAATGTACTCAATCAATTGGTCACAATATTAACAATAATAATAATCTTAGTAATAATAACAAAAAAAAAATTAAATCTCGCAATCGATCAGGTTAAAAACCTTCTCAATCTCATCCCCTTCTGCCTCTCCAGCTCGAGACGTTTGAATTCTTCCATCAACCCATTCAATTACAAATCAAAATGGAGTAAAAAAGAAAAATCAAAATGGGTTTATGTAAATCAGATCATTTAGAAGAAGAATCCGAAGGCAAGAGCGACGAGAGAAGCAAACACGGTGGGGACGAAAACGGCGGCGTCAGAGGCAGGAGAGGGGGCTGGAGCCTCTTGAGCAGCGACGTTTTGGACCACAGAAGCGGCCATAAAGACCACAACAATGGCCATGAACAATCTCATTTTCATCGCCTCCATCGATGAAGATTTTCTTCTCGTCGAGAGAATTTTCCGGGGAAAGTCGAAGTTAGAAAATCGGGAGAGGGTGAAAAAGAGAATGCGAGGAGGAGTGGTGGGGAGATGGGAAGAATAAATTAGGGTTTATATAGGTGGCGGAGGAGAGAGAAAAAAGGGTCAGCTGCCCGGAGAAACCGTTTGTTCAACCACATACACGCCTGAGAGTTGCCCAAACTAACCGGTTGTCGACAGGGTGGCCATTGTGTGTCATGGTGCTGTACAGCTGTCGCCAACGGTTTGCGATCATTATTGCGTGCTTTGGTGGGTCCCATTTCCTTTTTTTAAGCAAATAACTTTATCAACATCCACTCTTTATTCGCCACGTCCAATATTTTTAAATTTAAAAAATAAATGAGTGAAAAGACATTTTTGCCCCCAAACTACGGCATGTTCCACGGCCATACTTCAAAATAGCTGAGGGTATTTGGGATTTTCACAGTACAGATATTTCGTGTGTGTTAAGATTTTCAAATATTGAATTTGGTGAGCGGCACTTATTGAATTTTGCTACATTGTTCTGCTAATTAAAATATTATTATAATCAAGACGTCCAATAATTATTGGAATTTTATTTAATGATATATTATACTATAAAGAATTGAAACATTATTATATATACTAATGAAACAAATTTTTTGGAAAAAAAATTTGAATTAACTGATTTCAAAAATATAATAAATTCATATATTAATTAGTTACATAATATATATATCAATTATAATAAATAATAACAATAATTTCTAAATAAAAATACCCATAAGGGTATAATCTGATTATTATTTATAAATTTTTTAAATATATATATATAATAATTATAGTTGATAAGATTCTATCTTTAAATGCATGAAAACAAGAGGACAAAATAAAGCAATATAAATTCTACAATTTTCAGAAATTATATTTTTACAAGAATACAAATTTGTTTCACGGGCGACAATCTACGGCCATGTATCCCATTAACAATTTAAACATGTTTTTGGTGAGAACATAATGTACATGAAAATTTAGTGAACCGTAAATTCATATATATATATATATAATATTATAATTACATAATGTGTATATAATACCTCATCGCAACATTAAAATATATTTCAGTGTCATTTTATAATAATTTTATTTTAACTTACACAATGCTTTATATTTAACTAGGTATTAATATAATATTCACTTATTATATATGAGTTATAATATATAGTGTAATTAATGATATTCTTAACAATTGGTCGAGCGATGTATTTTTTTATTTATTTATAAAAAATTAATTAATCTATATGTAAATATTAATAACAAAAGTGTATGAGATTATTAAAATTAATAAATGTGTTAAGAAAATAAGAACATTTTAAGTTATTATTTAAAAAGTTAATAAGTTACACATTTGAATAAACTACTAATTGCAAAAATTAAATACTTTTTTTTAACACGAAAAAATATTTATATAAATATTTCATAACGTATATTATTATTACATACATAATGTTAATTTTAAGTGTGTATATTAATACAAAATAAAGTAAATTTATTGAATAAAAAATAAGAATATAAGAATTCGAATTATAAAAAAAAAAAATTTACAACATAATTATAACACATGTCTCTCATTTTTCATTTAGCAAGAAAAAAAGAGAGATGAAAAGGTGTTGGTGATGATTATAAGCAAACAAAAGTTAAGTGTGATTACCATGTCGGTCCATGCCTATTTACATAAACCAAGAGTTATGCGAAGGAAAATATTAAAGTCTCAAAATGAAAATCATAAAATTCTATTTATTATTTCAATTATTTACAAAATGATTAATAATTACATCATTAATAATGAAAATACGTAATATGTTAAATTAATAATTTTAATTTTATATTTTTATAAAAATAATTAATCAACCGACTAAAAAATATTTGGTAAATTTAAAAAAATAAATTATGTATAAACTAGTAAATTGAAACGAAAAATAAAAATTAATTGGTCAAAACATACGTACCAAAACAAAAATAATATATTGTATATCTATATATATATTATGTTAATCAAGTAAATAATTACCAAAATATATAGTTCTAAATTTTGTAATTCATATCATAATGATGGTACGTTGAAGAAGATGATATAAATGTTAGGCACTGTTGCTGAAATGTTTGACTTTGACCAGGCTATTATCTGGATTGTAATTATGATTAATTCAGCTTCAATTCAAATTATTCGCTCTTAACCCAAATTAACTCACTAATCTCTAATTTATTTTCATAAGCTAGTTTTATAATTTTCTTAATTGATTTAGGGGACGTGAGATGACAAAAATACCCATCGCTCTCCATCTATTCTCTTATCAAAATTATTTATTATTTTTGTGTGGTTTTAAGAATTAACTTTTTCAAAATTTTAAAAATCATTAATTAAAATAATTAATTACTTAATTGGGTGAATAATGCAATTTATTTATTTTTAAATCCACATATAATTGGGGGTGGGGTCCATTTTATGCTCCATATACGTTGAACGTTAAAACTCGTGCCTTCACACCAGTAATGCACACAGTTTGATACAATATAATATAATATATTTATTTAAAATAATATAATATATATTTATTTAAAAATTGTCTACTTGTGACCAAAGAGAGAGCAAACAAGAAGTAAAAAAAATAAATACTAATATAAATTTTACTAATTTGAATTTTTTAATCAATTAATTAATTTTTAAATAAATAAATTATAATATAAGATATTCGTAAACTCATATAAATTAGATTCGACTATTTAGATAAAATACTTAAATATTAATAAATCTAAAAAAAAAAAAAACATTAAAAACATGCACATATAGGGTTATAAAAGTGTAAAAGCTAATTTTTACCATAATTATGTTTTCCCTATGTAATTAAGGCAAGATTGCACGTGCTAATTTTGTCTATTTATGTCTAGAGATTCTCTAAAATTCACGTGTGTTGTAATAATTAATTAGTTGAAATTGATTAGTGTAAAAATAATTAATTTATACTTTTGTATAATAACATTTTTTAGTATCTCAAAATATTTTTCTTCTTAATTCTAATGGATTATTTTTAGATGGCTTTGTTGTTTAATTAAAAATATGAAATTTTAATTTATCTATTTCAATCTTATACACACATATATATGTATATATTAAAAGTATTATTAGATTTGTTTAGTGTTATATAATATATAGTGATTTTTTTTATTTTATAAAATAAGAGAGTTTAGCTAATTTTAAAATTATTTGGTAACTTATAATATTTATATATTTAAAAAATTAAATTAAATATGTACGTGGGTGATAAATATAATAAGATATATACACGTATCATAAATAATATTACCCTTTGATAGTTGGTATTTTTTCAACACTTACACATTGAATAAATAATATTACCATTGAATAATAATAAATTCGGATCAAGATAGATTTCGTAAAAATCAAACTTGATTTTTTTAACGAAACTGAAATTTGACTCGCCCTAATCAAGTAAAACAAAAAACTCACTTACATTAAGCTTGATTCAAATAGAATTTAATTTAAAATTGTAACAAAATTAATAGATGGGAACGAGTTTCACGGGTCATGATTCTTTTTTTGACGTTCACAAGGAGAATGTATATCAAACTTTCTAAATATTAGTAAAATAATTTATTCATAAAAAAATTATAAAATATACAGATTACAGTAAATAGCTTACTCTAATCGATATATATATATATATATATAAATTAAAAATATAAGAAATAGTTATATGTATGTATATATAAATGTATTACATTATATATATATGTGTGTTTGGATTGAGTTTGATTCGTAAGATTAAATTAAATTTAAACTTCATTTGATCTGAGCATGTATATGCTACAATATGAAAATAGTCAACTTTAACCAAATAGTTGTAAAAATAAAATATGAAAAGTAACTCTTCATTAATTCTACGTACCAATTGTTTGATGTATTTTGAGAATTATAAATTAATAAATATTTTTTAATCCTCACTCAAATTGCACTTCCTCAATTAACAATAAATTAAAAAAAATATTTATTTTAAATAAAATAAGATATGCTTATGCTTATTTAAAATAGGCTGTCTGTTGCTCTCACCTATTTACCCTTATGAGTGAGGATAAAAACTATATATATATATACATATTTAAAAAAAAAAATTTATATAACTCGAGTTATTAACTCGGATACATAACGAGTTAGGTTTTGAATTTAGTCCGTCGGATTTAATGAATCGATCGTGGACTAATTACGAGTCATTTTTAATATCTTAAAATTATTTTGTTATTTATTTATTGTTATTATTAAAATTTATTATTTTATTTGGGCTTCTACTAGTTTCGATATTTTCACCTGCTCTGCCTAATTTGGTTTCAAAAGAAACTTAGCCGCAACTATTTTCTCTCTGGACTCTGGGCCTGATTGGATCAATTTGAAGCCCAAATAGGAAGCCCGTACCCAAATCAAAAGCTAGACCCGACCCGAATAATTTTAGTAGGAAATTTTTTGAAAAAGAAATATTAAAACCGTGATGATTGAGGTGGGATGTGAAAAAGAGGAGATGGGAGGACCCATTACCCTGTTTAATCGCAAATGAGATCCCGCCGTCCATTTCTCAATCCGACGGCTATCTTAATCTTTAGTTATTTTTGTCTGTGGCAAGGCCATCCAAGATAAATACAGAAATGGAGTGGAGAAGATGAATTCACACAGAGAAAGAGAGACATTGGTATTACAGAAACTCAACAAACTGCGAACTGAGAAACACAGAGAAAGAGAGAGGGACCAAGAAGAGAATCATTTCCTCCTTATCTTCAGTTTCAATTTTACATACCCACCGGCAAGATAAACTTATAATCGTTTTCTCAGCAATTATCTGAAACCAGAAAACAAGGATCTCTTCTATTCTCTTGTTTGCATGAGAATTATCTGAAATCTCTTGACCGGTGTTGAAGATTTCTCTCGCATGGAATTATCTTCTCGTTGTAAGATCTCTCCTCCTCTTCCTCATTTCCAGCTTCTATCTGTCTTTCTGGGTCTGTAGGTACCTCTCGTTTTGGGTTGGTTCCTTAAGCTCTCGATCTTAGTTGAATAAATTTTTTTTTGGATTTCTTTTGTTGAAGTCCTAGATCTTGAAATTGTATATATCTCAGGCTGCGATTTGCAGCTGACTTGGTTTTTTTCTTCCTTTTTAATTTGTTTTCTCTAATTAAGAGAACCCAGGCGGCTGTCTTCAAAATCCAAGCTCGGGTTTCAGTTTTCTGAGATTTTTACTTTCTGGGATTTCTTCAAGTTAACCAGAAAACTCAAATGGGTGTTTTTTAAAAGGTCGTTTTTTTTTCTTCTCAAATTGGCGGTTCTCACTTCTCAGCCTTCTCGATTTGCATAGATTAACCCATATGGGGTGTATCAGAATGTCGTTTATCTCATCTCAATCTAATTTCTAGTTCTGGGTCTTCTTTGTTTCTTAGAACTCTTTTCGTGTTTGGTTTTCTACTAAGATTTCATCCTTCCCCATTTTATTTGACTCATGGATCTTTCAATTTAGCTCGAGAAAAGTAAAAATCTCAGACGGGTTTGTTGGAAATCCGCTTCTCTTGCCTTTCGTCCACTTAATTTTATCTTTTCTATAATTGTCAATTCCAGAGTCTCGTAATTCCAGTTGATAAAATCAAATCGGTTAGGTAAATGACTTTTTTTGAGTATTTTTTTACAGCTGCGGATAAGGAAGACAGAAACCAGAGAGCTTGCAAATCTCTAGAGCCTGAGATTTTTCTACAGTGGGGAAACAAGAAGAGGCTGAGATGTGTAAGAGTCAAGGATCCTCAAATCTCACAGAAATCCAATGGTGTTGTACGTAGGAAAATCTCATCTCGGTTTCTAGTCAAAGAGAGTTCTCTTCTCCAAACCACTCGCCTCACCAGGTGAGAGAATCCTCGTTTCTGTTCTTCTTACAAAAAGAGAAGAGGAAAAGGAAAAAAGAATTTTCTGATGGTTTCTGGGTTTTGTTGTTTTTGGCTTGTAAGAGATGAAAGGCCCTCATCTAAACTGAGCCTCTCGTTTTTATTGCGTGAGGCTTTGTTTGGTAGAGAGAGATTTACCAAAAAAGAAGGAAGTTTTCTAGGGTTTTGTTTTATTTTAATTGTTTGGGAGACTTTTATTTTTCTTTTTCTTTTTCGTTTATTTCACCCAAAAGAAAAGCACCAGAAGTTTCTTCTCATCCAAACAGAGTGCCAACTGCTCCGGAGAAAATGAGAACAGAATCTTCAAAGTTTGGTAAAATTGGAAATTTATTCTTGATGGGGATTGGTTGCAGGAATTCCGAGGCAGCCACACTCCGGTCAGGTGGACATGAGAACAGGAAATCGTCGTCGCCGGAGAAGGAGGACAGGTACTACACGACAAGAGGGTCAACGGTAGGTGCGGTGGATGAGAATGGCAAGCTTTCAACAGATAGCAACAATGGAGAAGATAAAGGACTTGTTTGGCCTAAACTCTACATTGCTCTCTCAAGCAAAGAGAAAGAAGAGGATTTCTTGGCCATGAAAGGATGCAAGCCTTCTCAGAGACCTAAAAAGAGAGCCAAGATCATCCAAAGAAGTTTGCTTGTAAGTACATAACCAAAACTATATATATATATATATATAAAGCTTCCAACTTTGATTGTGTAAAGAGAATTTGGTTTGTGGGTTTGGTTTTTTTGGGTTAATTTTTCTGATTTTTGATGATTTTGGTTGGTAGTTGGTGAGTCCGGGGGCATGGTTGACTGATATGTGCCAAGAGAGGTATGAAGTTAGAGAGAAGAAGAGCACCAAGAAGGTATTTTTCATTGGATCTGTTGTGTTGATTTATAAACCTCTTCTGTTTCTCTCTCTCTCTCTCTCTCTCTCTCTCTTAATTTTCCTCTCCATTTTTGGTGTTGAATTGATGATGAGTTAAGAGATTGAATTTGATGTGATGCAGAGACCAAGAGGGTTGAAAGCAATGGGGAGTATGGAAAGTGATTCAGAATGAGAAACGTGATAGTTGCAGAGGCTTTTCGAGTTGCAGGAGGAGGCAGCAGCAGCAGCAGCAGCAGATGCTTTTCTCTTTTTAGGGTTGTGTGGGAGAATTTTTTGGGAATGGAGGAGGAGGAGTGGGAAAATGGGGAAGAGTTCTGCTGGGTGGGGGGGATTGTCGTTGTGTTGTTGTATAGAAAGTAGAATAATTCCATTTTTACGAATTAATGAATGAGAAAATGAAAAATGTTTTTCTCTCATAGTTGGTTCTTTAGATTTTGAATTGGATCTGGTCAATGATGATATTCAAACTTGGATTTTGATGATGCAGGCTATATAAAACTTGGATTTCCAAGCCTATAATCAAATACCTTTAAAACTAAAGGCCTTAATTTTCAAAATTAAAATCTAAATAAATCATGTCAATTAAGAGATGTTAATATGTCTCGTGATAATAAAGATTAGTAATTCTTCAAACTATCCACACCCAAAAAAAAAAAAAAAACTATACATTTACTAAATAAGTAAATAAACAAATATACCTTTTATCTCCAAAATATTTCCAACATTATTTTTAATGGGAGACTATCAAAAAGTGTCATAAGTTGTAGTAATAAGTAACTTTGGTTTTTATACAGAATGCAATACATATATACATATTTAATAAGTAGGATCAAAGTGTCACAATTTTTATAATTCATATCGTTAATTCTTTTCCTCAATTTCATATTTACATTTACAAATTATAATTCAATAATGTCTAAAGTCTAGGTCATACTAATTTGGAATATCAAATTCATACGCGTTTTAGTATAATTTTTGATGTCTCAAACCCAAGTATTGTCGAGTCAACAAGTATTAAGTTCTCGTATAGAACTAAAAACATGTATTTCTTACGTAAATTAAGGTACTACAATTTTTATAACTTGGATCATTAATTTTCTTCTCATCAATTTTATACGTCATATTTATAAATTATAATTTAGAAGTGTCTAAACCGGAAACTACACTATTTCAAAACACAAAATGTTTTAATGTCCCGTACCCAAATATTTTGAGTCAATAGATATCCATTCAAGCCGAAGTCGTTAGAGCCAGTGACTTGGAGCATGATTTGAGAGTAATAGTCATAAACATAAAGTTAAATAATTATGTCTTTATATCCTTACCAATACCATGTATCATAGAGTTAAATAATTATGTCTTTATGTCCTTACCAATACCATGTATCATAATCAGATATCGGAATCCAAAAAATCATATTAATGCAAAAATTATCGATTTAGATCTAGTCGTTAGTATTATTTGCAATACTTCAAACTAAAACATGACCTAACTCACAATTTTTGAACTTGAATCATTATTAAGTTTCAAAGTTTAAACTCAAATTATTGATAATTTATAACTTGAAAACAATTTATGTATATCTTTGCATGATATGTATAGTGAGTATACATATGTATCTCAGTATGTATATCTGTAATGGCACACATTACAGCATACACGAATAATTCATTATGTATTTGGATAAAATAACCGAAAAAGTTCTCTCAAACAAAAGCTCAAAAGATTGATACTGAGAGTGGATCTTCCTGTCACCTGACAAAGACCATGAAACTACAAAGAACCTCCCAAAGCAGAAATTTTTTTCTTATTCTCTCATAAAATTCTTGTCTTTCCCACATCAATCTTCTTCTCGAGACAAACCAAATTTCTTAGTCTCTTTTCATCCCATCAATCGAAGGCTAAGCTTAAAACTATAGAAAATATTCGAAAATTGGAGATGGTAGAATTTAGGTACTTACTTTGTACCACAAACTTCCATTGATGCTCTCCCAGCTTCTGCAGGCAAATATCATCCTTAAAGATGAGATCAGACCTGTCTAACTTGCATTCAGCAGTCGGCCTTCACTTTTTCATTAGAAGCATAACTAGGGGCGAAGTTGTCAGAACAAATTATTAGCCAAGACCGTTTTCCTCAATCAATCTTGCTTAAACAAAAGATTCTTGTAAACCATTCGAACATGAATTTAGATACATGATTAATGATATCTCTACTTTTTTTCTGAACATATAATTTCTACCAACTGAATCAACTTGGATAACACATCAAGAGAAGCCCAAGTTACACATGTATCAGATTAGCTCATAGATTCCAAGTCTCTACTATTTCCAAACTTTACTAATTTATAAACGAACAACTGGCTTTTGGAAATAGGGATAAGGAAAAACACTAGTCCAAAATAGCACTATCTGTGGAACTTGCAGCAATTCATTAGTTTCAAATTTCCCAATCACTCAGAGTAAAAAAGATAATAATAAAAAAGATAATAATATATGAGAAGGAAAACAATGGAAAAGACACATACCTCTCCTCACAACTTCTGCACCTGAAACACCCACGGAGAACATAGAAATGAACAGAACAAATTATGGGTGAATTATGCAAAAGATCCTAAATTATGCAAAAGATATATCTATGTCACCATATGATGATTTCTCAGTGATAGTCTAGAACCATTTATTTCAATCAAGACCACTTCACACAATAAAGAAAAAGAACATACTTCTAATTCTGGCTTGGCACTGTTATATGTTAAGAGATATTTTCCCTCTGAAGAAAGTACACCATGATAAGCATTGAGAAATAGAGTGGAGTAAGAAAGATTGGTTACAGCCAAATCCAGAGTGGCTTTAGTCTTAGCAGCGCATACAAGCAACAGTATGAGAGGCAGGAAGAGCAGACAAAGTCTGCACAGGGATCTTTGTAGAAAATATCGTGGGCAACCATTTTTTGATTCTCCTTACCACAAGACTTCACAGTTGCAAGCTCCAATCCTAGAAAATGATCAAACCTACTTGTAATCTCTCACTTTTATGTCCCTCTTTGTAACACGAGTAATAATTTTATGCCAGCATGCCAATTACATAAATTTGCTAGTTCTTACTAACTAGAATAGGCTTATTAGCACTTAGAGAAAGAATTTCAAATGCAATTGCTAGCTTTTCACTGTGACGAACAAATTTGTCCTCTTCTTCAAAACAGAAGAACTAGATTCTGCATGACATCCATTTTTACCATAGACAAGTAGTTCATCTAGTTTCTGGTTTGTTTGCCCAGATTGTGGGTGTGATTGATCACACCAAGCAACGGATGAACAACCCCATTCGTCTTTACCCAATTACTTCCTGGACTTTTCTTAAATCTTCTGCGTTATTCTAAAGCTTGCAGCACCATCCATCTCCTAGAAGAACTCTACATATTAGATAAAAGGAGAAAATTTTCTGCTCCTTCAGGATATAGGCTCTCTATATTCTTTGATACTTCATCCCCAAGTTTAATATTTCCATCTGTCCTGCTAGCAGAAATGAGTGTGCACCATACACAAATATAAGGCTCAAATGGCATATTTTTTTATAAAATCACGGGCCTCAACCAGAAGTCCACTCTTTGAAATAAACAAGTGTTTCCCTTCCTCCAAAATGGCTACAAGAAAATAGGAGACAAAGAGAAGTGATGTTATCTGGTTTTAAACCAGTGACCTGCATACTATGGAACAGAAAAAGAGTTTCAGTGGCAAGTGTATGGATTCCATTACTCAGTATTATTGCATTCTACGGGACAGTTTCCCACCTATGCATCCTATTGAAAACTTCCCTAGCAAAACGGATGTTTGCACACTTTCATTACATGTCAATAAGAGCATCCCAAATTGGTATATCAATTGCGAAGCCGTAGATAATTGAGTGGCGATGGTAACAAAACCCATTTTGTAGAGCAGCCAATTGCCAGAAAGCTGGCAGGACTCCCAGCATGGTTGCTGAATCTGGCTTTACCCCAGATAATTGTACTTATGAAAGAAACTTAAAGCCTCTTCTTCATTAGCATTTTGTATGTACCAAGAACAAACAATATGATGCGGAACCCAGGATCAACAATGCAATCTGAACTCAAACATGCACAATGCATGTGAAACTCAAGATATAACTTGCTATCTGAACCCACACATACACCCTTAATATAGAAACTTAATCCCTAAATAAACCATTCCTATTAATTTACAATCAACTAGTGATTAGAATTAAGGTAGTTGTAATAAAGATAAATGAATTGACTAAAACGCCATAAGGATACCTTGATAAGTTGAAATTAATTTAAGAAAAGAAGTTGATTAGAAGAATGCTACAAAATTTTTTTGATAAGTTAAAATTAATCCTCCATGCAACAAAAAAGTTGAAGAAACCTTCAAGAAACAAGGTAGCCTTCGGCTACATTGTGAATAACTTTTTTTTTTTTATTCCTTGAATTAATTAAAAACAAATACAATGAGACCTATTTATAGAGATAGGCTGTGAGACTCCAAAAGGAAAAAGACTCCTAATTAGTAATGATTCCTAACGAATGCTTATCTTAAAGACCATAATTTCCTAATGCTTAATTGTATGATAAAGATCCTCTACTCTTGGATTAAAGAAGAACCAAATTACAAGGACTCTTCAATTAATCCAGAACTCCCACATGGCATATGACTCTTTAATCTTCATGATGTTGAGGTGGAAACCCGACCATATCTTTGTAGAAGAAAGGATGGCAAGGATTCCAAATTTAATAAGATTGTGTGGCTTGTAGATGAGTTGAAATCCAGCCATGTTTTGATAGAATAAGAACTTTTACTCCTTATGAAATTTGGGCTGAGACTGTCCATAATTGATGGGATAAAGCTCCTTAGTGATCGGTCTCCATGTAGGATAAGAACTCATTCATAATCGGCTTCCATGAAGAACAAGGACTCTTTAAAGAGTAAGGACTCTTTGAAGATTGGTTTCCATGACTTACAGAGGAATAAGGATGCTTAATAATCAGCTTGGAACAGTCCTACATTCGGCCATAACTTGTAGGAGAGTTTGCTTGAGAATCCATAAGTTGTAGGAGAGGAACTTGGCTTGATGGATTCGGCCTCCATGTTCCCATGGGCCTCCAAATCCGGCCCAAGCCTTCCTTCTACCATTACTCCACTCTTGAACATAAGCTTGAAAGACTTGCTTGAGTTTCTTGGCCATGATCTTGTGATGCTCCACTTGACATAATGATAGTCCTCCCATGCGGCCAAGTCCATCTTGAATTGTGTCCATCTTCTACTTGTCTCCATGAGGGTGATAAAGACTCCCATATTTTCTATGATGATAGATGCCTGGATCTTCATCACAATAGCCCACGAGATCATCAAAATGCCTGATTGAATCACCTGCGATCCCACACTTTGCACACAGAGAAAGTAGTGTGTTGCTGACCATCACACAAAGAAACAAACCCTGCTTTCGTCCCATAACCATGCAGGCATCTCCCTCCAATGAGATCATCAATTAACCTTGCAGAAACTCTAACAACAAACAATCCCGAGAGTCCTTGAAGATAGAATTGTTGCATTGATTTGATTAAACAGCTCTAATGCATCAGATTATCCGTAATGCAAGCTCCAATCATAGAGGTACAAGTTACCTCATTATTTAAACCCACAACCTTTCGAGCCTAAACTATGCACTTACATTTGGGGCAAAAATGGTGGAATAATTGTGTCTAGTTTAACCTCTTTTTCTGCATATCCAACAAGTAACCAAATCGAATGGATATAGATCCCGTTAAGTGAAAAACCATCAAATATTGCATTCCATGAAATAACAACTCTGTAAGGCATTCTATCGAACAATTCAAGTGCATTAACCACATACCAATACTAACAAAACAAACCAATGAAAATTTAGACAACAGACTCCAGAGCGAGTCCCTTAGTATGATCAGGCACCTTTTTGCCATCTTCCACAGCTTGCAGACCAGAACACAGGAGTACACTTTTTAAGGAAAAAGGGTACAATCACTTGGTGGGTTTCAAGCATCTCGTACCACAATGTTGCTTGCTCCATGGGTCTGTTTCCCGGGTGCGCTTTCATCATCAAGTTGGACAGAACTTCAGATTGGGAATCGTATCGGACAACGTGAAGCGCAAATAATTTGTAGAAGAGTAAAAAACTCAAAAAGAGGAAACTTTTTCAAATAATTTATAAAAAAAATAATAAGATATTCAAAAGAATAACCTTTTTTTGGACATATCCCAAATAAATAATTACCTGGATAGAGTATGATTACATGGCGCAATATGATTTGTCCTTGCTACTAAACGGTCACCAGAGAAACGTTATAAATCACGGACCTTTAAGAACCGACTTAAATTAAAAAAATGGGAAAAAAAGAAATCCTAATTTGAGTAGGAAAAATTATTATATTCTCTATTCCCTTTTAAATAGCATCAGTTGTTCCTACCTTCATCAAATCATCATCATCTTCTGGTTCTTCTATGTGCCGATTTTCTCTGAAAATCGTTGCACAGGGTAATTTATTTTCCATGGAGGAAGTCGATAATGCCTCGGCAGGCATCGAAGCGAGGAAGGATGCAGAGAATTTCTTCAAGCAAGGAAATCTCGACAAGGCTCTCGAAACAATTATGAAAGCCGCCGAACTCGAACCTAAGCAGCCCGATAACCTCAAGTTCTTCGCCGCCTACATAACTCACAAAGGCGCCGCCATGAACAGGAGCTTCTATACGTTACTTCGAATTAAGGATCCATTCACCGATGTGGATGCCATTGAGGAAGAGTACAGGAAAATTGAGCGGTTGCTTAATCCCGGAAAGAACGAGTCTATTGCTGCCGCGAATGCTTTGAAGATTGTCAATGCAGCATATGAGGTTTTGTCAGATCCCGATAAACGCCTCGCTTACAATTCTCGGATGGGGTTTGTGCCCAAGGATAATGCAGAATATTCTTCTGCATCGGAGAAGAAATCCCTTGCACCGGCCGCTGATGTTCCACCTCCGGCTACAGTGAAACACCAAACGATGCCGTATAATATCAAAACGGAGATAGATCAATCACCATCGCCGAGGACAGAATCGGCCTCGGTTTCTCCGACGACGCCGTATAATATCAAAACGGAGATAGATGAATCACCATCACTGAGGAAAGAATCGGCCTCGGCTTCTCCGGCTACAGTGAAACACCAAACGACGCCGTATAATATCAAAACGGAGATAGATGAATCACCATCACTGAGGACAGAATCGGCCTCGGCTTCTCCGGCTACAATGAAACACCAAACGACGCCCTATAATATCAAAACGGAGATAGATGAATCACCATCACTGAGGTCAGAATCGGCCTCGGTTTCTCCGGTTACAGTGAAACACCAAACGACGCCGTATAATATCAAAAGTGAGACAGATCAATCACCAAGTACACGATCGGCGTCGGCTTCTCCGGCTACAGTGGGACGTCGAAAGACGCCGTATAATAGAAAAAGGAAGAGATATCAATCACCAACAAGAACAGAATCATCGTCGTCATCGACTCATAGTCCTGAAAAAAGTTTCCAACCATCACCGAAACGCTGCGAAGGGTGTAATCGTTTACTCTGATACAAGTTTACCTCTCCGCTTTAGGATTGGGTTTAAATTATAATTTAATGTTAGTTTGGGTATTTAATTTATCAGTTCATTAGGAACTGATTACTTTTTTTCTGGTTAAATTTTCGAATCATCATTTTCAGCATGTACAATGTGACCGGATATATGTTTTTACTATATCCCATTATAAATCACAGTTTTTGAGTTTAAATTTCTTTGTTAATGTTAAAAATATTGAGAAGATGATTCCAATCTTAAGATCACACGGTTTTTGAAATACTGTTTTTCAAAATAAGTGTGTTAAAGAGTTCGTAACAAGAACTTTTGATAGTTCTTGTATCGAGAATACACAAATAGCTGGTGAACTAGACATAAGAAGTAACTAATTTGTTGTAAGAACTTAAAGATAAGTAGTAGAAACACTAGTTGAGAACGAGGACTTATACACAAGTAATATGGCTGAATCTTTATAAAAGAGTTTGAATACTCTTCCTTCTTTAGTTTATCTCCAACATAAAACAACCATGTATATTTCAGAATTCTTACTTTGAGCACATACGAGAATAATTAACATGTCCATTTCTTTCATATTGATATAGTATGGCTTACTTTGAGCATATATGAAGATGATAGTCATTAAGCATCAGATTTCTTCAACTTTAACTTTCTTTTCACGTTCATACCACTAGAATTCTGAACTTTTGCCCTATTTGATGAAATGTCCTTATGACTCGGGATAAGATCCAGCATGGAAAATGAGGTTCTTTACAACGTGCAATAACACAAGAGGAACAAATTTGTCCATCATGAAAGTGCTGCAATATAGTCAAGAATGAGCCAAAGTTAACCAACAATGAAAATAGTCAATTGTCGAATCAAACCAACAAATAGAGGGAGTTTAAGAGGCCAAAGTTCTTCATTTTGCAACACCATCAATAGTTCAAATTTTGTACAAATCATTTAAGAAAGTAACCTTCATTAGGGCATAACTTAACTAATTTCCTTTATAACTGATGTTAATATAAAACAGATAGATCATAGTAGGGGCGCATTGCAATACAAGAGATATTTAGGTAATGATGTTTATGTAAGATTTCCAAAATCCTCCATTAAATAAAAAGCATGACCCAAAACCAAAAAACTTAGGGTCTGGAACCTACTACCTCTAACTTATCAATATCTTTGTCTATCCGCTCGAAATCTCTCATGTTTCTCTCTTTTTACACCATCCAAAAGATAATAAGGGAAATGAGATTCACATGTTTCTTTCCATTAGTAATACCTTTTCAGACCCAAATCTCATCCCTTATCAACCCAACCATCGCCCAACTGATTCCCAACAACCTGTAAGCCATAGTCCGTAACTTGTAAGGGAATGGACACCAAAGTAGGATATGATTACAAGATTCGACCTCCCTTTTGCATAAAAAAACAACCATTCACCATAATCTTACCTCTTTTCATTAATTTGTCGATAGTCAGGATACACCCACGATTACCTCCCCACGCAAAGAAATAACTCTAGGTGAGGTATTGACCTTCCATATCTGTCAAAAAGAAAACTTGGTTTCTATGATATCATACTTCACCAAATAATTATAAAATGATATGACTCTAGGTGCAGCATGGAGGCTCCAAATTGATTGATCACTGTTACCATCCATTAACACGAGGGAGAGAGTCTTGAGGAGAGTCTTATACTCATTAATCTCTCAGTCATTGAAATTGCTCAACACATTCACCAGCACTCTCTTTCCCCTCCTATGTCTCTGAATGAGTCAGTCACTGTAATATCATTGTCTTGCGATAGCAAAAATATGAGGAAACTAGTCTTTGAGCGCCCCCCCTTTTTTTAAGCCAAGGATCCTGCCAAAATCTAATTCTACCTCCCCTACCAACCCTTCTTCTGATGCATTCCTAGAACTTATTTCTGCCTATGCCTATTTTTTCCCACAATTCCTTCTCGTGTGGTCTTGCCAAAACACTGGAAAACCATCATCTATCCACAGTACTAAATTTTGCCTCTATCACCCTTTACCAAAAAGTACTGTCTTCTTTCAAGAACCTCCATAGCCATTTTACCTTGTAAAACCCAATTCATCTCCACAAAGATCTCAACCCCAAACTTCCTTGAGACATTGGCTTTTTAATCTCACTGGATGCTACTAAATGGTACTTTCTCATCTCCTCAGAATCACCTCATAGAAATCTATACTGAATTGATTCCAGTCCCTTGGCAACGCTCATTGAAATTATCAGAAAGGACATGTAACAAATGAGTAGGTTAGTCAGCATCCTTTTGATGAGTGTGAGTCTCTTAATTTTTTTTTTGAAATTAAAAAAACAGTTGTGTTTTTTTTTTATGAGTGTGAATCTCCCTTAAGACAGGAGGTTTTCTTTCCATCCCGCTAACCTCCTTTCAAGCCTCGCCATAACAGAATCCCATGTCCCCACCTTTGTAATTCCCCATCCTAGCTTAGTTGTTAGTTTAGACTATTAATGAATGACCAGATAATGTTATTAAGATATTAATTGATTATGAAGATCCAAGGTTTCTGATTTGGTTGTTTGCTAATACATATATTTTCTAACATTGTGTTCAAAAGCTCCCTCTGTGCTGCTTATCCTTAATTTCAACCCTAAATATGACTCTTCAAAAGATGTGAAATTAAAGCAGGATCATATCATTGGAAAAAAAAATTAACTTGCCAAGCAAAAAGCAGTATTATATTACTGGAATTTTGGAAATTAAACCTTTTTTTATCTTCCTTGGTGATCAATTGACTTCGGCCGTGGCAGCTTGAAGCATATCCACTATTAGAGTCTTCACATCCCTGAGACAAAATTGAGAAATGTATGAAATAACAAGGCTTGTGCATATACTCATCAAATAGCTGCGACAATCACCCTTCTTCCCTCCCCCCGAATGGTAAAAGGAAAATTATTGTCATTTTAGGAATTTTTTTTGGTATTAATGGATCCTCAGTAAAAGGCAACTAAAATAGTTTGCAGCTAATTATATGGTTGAAAATGGCCACATTGCCTCCTACTGGGGAACTGGGACAGATGTTTTTGTCATATCTAGGGTCACATGATCTATGAAATAACTGAAACTTAAAGCAGACTGATCATTCTAAACATAAAAAATGCATTGCTGCTTGTTACAAAGTATATAGAGATATATGTATACACATATGTATACATCTGTATATCTGATTAAATCAGAAACTACAACTGCTAAAAGAAACCCTGTATTCTGCAAAATACAGTTATTTCCTTTATTATAGTGAAACACTCACAGTATATGAACCTAAAAAGTTTTGTCAAAGGACACAAGAAGAATCAAATATCAAGGTAACTTTCACAAGAAATGAAAGCTTGTATAAATAGGATGCCTCACTTTCTATTTTCAGCACGTCTACGAAAAGGAATTCGAAGCTTGAAGGTACTCCCTTTGTAATCAGCCTAATGACAAAAACAATAAAGAAACATTAGCAATTACATGTAACAAGAGAATAACACTTGTTTCGGAGAGGAGGAAACATTCACGAAGTTATTTCAATTGAACTACCAATTCCCGTTTCTATTCTATAAAGTTAGAGAAAATATGCGTTTAGAGAACAGTTGGGAGCAGATTTTCAAGGAAGTTATCAATAAATGCATTACCTTAACATTGAATCCAAGACTGTCCAGATCCACAATGTATGCGTTGTCCACCTGGATGGAAATACAAAATTAACCAAGAAGCTAGTTAAACTCCCTCAATGAGAAATTATTTTTGGAAGTTCTAGAAGAGAAAAGAAATTGCAAGTCCAACCACAAGCATTGGTTTCATGGGATGATGGTAAAGGAAGTTTGACTTAGGAAGTTAAATTAGTTATGGCACTCAAGTACTATCCCTCAAAGCATCAGAGTTTTCTGAACTTTTAGTTTTCCATAGAGAACTAGGTGTTTTTTTCAATAGAAGAAGTATTATTAGGAATGGAATGAAATTAATACAATTGTGGAGAATAAAACATCCCCCTCACAAGAGCAAATAAGGAAATTAGAACACAAGCAAAGAAAAAAATAACATGAAAAAGATCATCCATTCCTCCTGTGGGGAACAAAATTATTGCCTCCCAATTCCAATGAAGCTCGGAAATAGCAAGATCGTGGTAATTTCCATTAGCTTTGGCCGATAAGGTGGGAAAATACCTTTCACACAACTCCCGGAACGATAAAAGTGGTGGTAATAAAAAATCCTATGCTTCCATTTAAGTTATAGAATCCATAGTCCTGCAAAAAGAGCCTCTTGCCATAAGGTGGCCAAATTATTCCTAATTTTACTATTTTTCTCTGAATATTTAGGATAAGTTTTGTCTTAGGCTTTTTTGTTTTGAAGGAAAAGGGAACAATTCACAGAAAGTTGTAGGGTCAAGAGATGTCGATTTGTATTCATCATTTTGAGAATGAAACAGCTGTATCTAAGCAGCCAAATACAACTTAGTGGTAATTAATTATAAGCTAAGAATCAGTAAACTAACCAATTTTTCTAACTACTAACAATTTAAAATCCCCAGAATATCCAAATACAATTTGTTATATAAACAATACCTGATATTACTCTCAGATCCAAAAATTATCCTCCCCATGAAAGATTATCTTTGTCCTCAAGGACAAATATCTATGGATATACAATTAGGTGCAGACATAACACCAGTTTCTATTATTGCAGAAGCAATTGACTCACTGGTATCTTCAAAATATTCCAGTACATCAAAGTCTTCATAGACCTTATTGTTGATACAATATATTAAGCTTCCTTTATATTTTTCATTCCCAGCAATCTAGTCAATTTCAAGTCTGAGATCAACTGAAGAGTCTATGAGCGACATAACACCTGCAACTACACATAGTGCTTGCCCAGGAATTCCATCAAGAACCATCATGAGTGTATTATTGTCTGCTGCCAAAGTGATTGCAGCTAGTTGACTCTTGTAGCCCATTCTCCAACAAAAACAACAGGTGACAAGAACTGTGTGAGGAATGAGCTTGGAGGCAAGGAGTCTTAGTGTAGGAGGGGTTGGATTCCAGATTCTATCTGACACAAAACTTGAGAATTTTGCGCACCTGATGGCTGATAAGAATGGTGAAATCTCATGCACCCAAACATCAAAAGGGGAACCCATGTGAATCTTAGGCAGAGTCGTCAATTTTTTCTTAAATAGTGCATATGTTTGAGTTGTCTTCTCAACCTCTATAGAAAATTTATTCTTCTTGCTTGCTGCCAGGCTGCATTTCAGGTTCTCCGTAAATGAATTGTGGTTCTTTGCTACTCTGTAATGTGGCCATAATGATACCAGATAAGGACCGGTTCAAATATGATTAAAAAATCAATACTTTGTCATGAGCACTACAATAGGATTTTCTACAAAGGACCTTATCACTCGTATTTAAAGCAGGAATCCTTCTCCTTGATGCAACCCACACCTCATCTCTTGCAGTCACGACGCAAAAAGCTTGCTTCTTTCCTAGCGTGCTGAACAGATCAAGATTGAACTCAGACTTTGGAGGTGAATTGTTTCCTTTAATTAGGATGCTAGATGCATTTCTAGAATCAAAACCCTCCCAAACTTGACAGAAGTAAATGCCCACTTTATTTTTCATAAAGTTGAGAACCAATGGTTTTCCAGATAATGGACATTTATATGGATAGAATCATATATATCTGGTCATCGGTCAAACCACAACTACTACATACAATTTTCTCATAATCAGTACACACTATCCAATTTTTTGATTGCCTAGTTTTAACAAACACTTAGTGTGAACTTGATTGTTTCCAGTTTCAATTATTTTCCTTCTTGCTATTAGTTTCCCCATTTACGTTCCTACTACCACGTTTGATTTCCTAATTGATTCAGGGTCAATGATTTTACCTGTTATCTTCAATTGATTTGGCTCATCCACTTCAGGAGAAGAATTAAAAGTTACTGTCTTGATTTCCTCCTGGCATGAATCAATCAGATCCACCTCCTCTGTGACGAATAACAACTAAGCTGCATATGGACTTGCTCCAAGAAATGAAAAATCTGAACTTGCCATGTGTAAAGTGTTTCCAAGCAGGATTGAGGACAAGCTGGTGATGGAGGATTTTGTTCCAAACAAGGGAGTCAGGTCGTGCTCGGTGAAGCTGACACAGATGGAGAGGAAACACTGCAGCTCCTTGATCACTACATCAACTTCAATTCCTCAAATTTCTCGTCCACTCAATTTAGGCTCTCGTAGAGCAGCTTCCTTCTCCAATTGAAGTTCTCTCCATCATATGAAACAAGTTTTGGAAAGCTTTGTTTTAAACTCATCCTATTTCTGATGGAAATTCATATCCAGAATTGGGTGGTTGATTTTGCATTTGTGGCGGCACTTCTTTTTTATGTTTGTGTTTGAGAGAATTATCAGAATTGGAAGAAGACAGAGGAAATAAAGAAGAGAAGAAATTGAAGAAAATAGATTGGAGTTTACATGGAGGAGTAGAAAGAATGGTGGAAAAACAAATATTCTGATATCATTTGTCAAGTTCCTGAATCCTGATGAAATAAGAAAGAGATGAAGAAAGGAAAGATTTAAAGAAGAGAGAAGGGTTTGCAGAATGTTGCAGGGTCAAGAGATTTCAATATGTATTCATTTTTTGATAATGAGCAGTTACAAGTTAGAGCTGATATAGATGCATCTAAGCAGCTAAAAACAACTTAGCAGTAAGTAATTATAAGCTTATTTCAGCAATACCCTGCAGTACCCTTAGGTCCTGAGACGGAATTAGGATTTCCTTCTACATTTAGAATTATATGTAAGCCTATATGCTGAACATAAAAAGTTATACCAAAGAAGATTTCAGGCCTACATTTTTCTTCCAAAGCAATAGAATGTGCAATTCCTAGTTTAGGCTACAAAAGAGAATTGCTCCACTGACCTCCTAAATCATCCCATCCATCCAGCTCTCTCTGTATGTATCTGGTTTAAAATTCGGGCATGATCAAACTAGGATGAATTATTAAATGAATCATATATGAACCCAGACAGATAACATAATTGCATACATAATGCTTGTAGCAGTGCAACCTAAACCATGGGAGAAGTTTGCTATAGAATTGGCACTTGCTTCATAATTTTGGGTTTTCAGGCACCATATTATCCTAAAGGGCCAATTAATGTTCTGATCTGCTTGCTAAGACAGGTTGCATACTTCCATTTCTCAGTCAATGTAAATATTAAAAGCTAGAAATAATGTTTATGCTCACTGGAACTGATGTCAAATGCTGCACAATGAGTTTTGTATCTTCAGCATGATCTTTGTTCATGTGAGACTGAAAAATAATAAGGCACTGGTTAAAAAGGATATACACTGATTTTATAATTGTAAAAGGATATACACTGATTTTATAATTGTAAAAATATAAAATGGTATAACAAAAGAAGTGATGATAACACATTACTGCAACAGGCTTAGTGAACTGCGCTATTTGATCAACTTTTGCAGCTTGGTACTCCACTTTGCTGAACTCTTAAGAATTAAAAGATTGAAATTAGGGGTTAAAAGAATTAAGCAAAACTGAAGAAATCAATCAGAAGCGTTTAGCACATAAACATCTAAAGGAGGTCTGAAGCAAGTTTCTCATCCTGGATCTCGATACTTCTCTCAAGGGTGATAAAGTTGCAAATTGTGGGACAAAGATTAGCAGGAAAGGAAAAAACAAAAATGGAAATTAGAGATGCAAGGCAAACCTCCAGATCCTAGTAAAGCAGTTGCAACCCCTGACACATATCGTACAGCCTTTGGTTCAATGCGCATAAATTGGAAGTCACCAAAGTCAACCTTCAGAATTGGAAAAGTAAATTCATTTCTCAAATAATTTTGACAATAAACATAATGCAAAAGGAATAGAAGCCAGATAGTTAGAGGCTAAATTTACCCAGAATGCATTTGGATGCTTAGCCAAATATGCAGTTCGAGTGGCTGCTTGATCTTTTTCAGGAACCTAAATCATTGATGCATGAGGAAAATTTTCACATATGATAATCACGCAGTTAAGGCTGGTTAAATAAGAACATATTCTTACAAGATAAGATCAGAAACAGACTCCGAAGGCACTAAGAAATTACCACAACTGCATCACCATGCAAGGTTATTACTAAATCAGTTCTATCCTCAGGATCTCTAGCAACAAGCAATGAACATTTTGGATTGGCTAACAGATCCTGTTGAAAGCAACAAGCTTTTAGAGTGTATAGGATTTAAGAAAAAAAATTACGAACTACATTAAAGAAATGAGTGCAAGAAATGATATAGGATAAGTTGCAATGCAACAGAAATAGAATTAATAAATGGATCCAAAAGTATGCTGGAACAAAGACTGGCAAAAATACTCTATCTATATGAAGTTCATCAATTCCAAAATAAAGGCAATTGAACTTTACTCTAAACAGCATTTGGCAGGCATCATCCCCCAGGACCCCTCACAATGCAGTTATCAATTCACTTCACAGTACATTGTTTTCAGATAGGATGCAGTTCTTTTCTTCTCTTTTCTTTTTTAGTTGGTAGACATAATGGTGTATCAATATCTAACACATGACACAGAGTTCCAAAGAGGAAGGTTGTGATGGGGTTGTGAATGGGAGGAAGGTACTTCAACTGAAAGCATGAATTCAGATACCGGACCTTTGTATGAACTGCCAAGCTGCTGACTGCTAATATTGGTGATCCATCAGCATCACATGCGTAGTCCACCATCGACCCTGAAGGATATCCCTCATACTTCTGTGCAGGAAATGAATTCACAAGATTAAGCAACAGTGAAGAATAATAGTTGTCCGATGAACGAAACACTCAATCATCAACCGCTATGTATTAGAAGGCTTCCAAATTTAGTGCCATCAGATCCACACACACACACACACACACACACACACACACACACACACACACACACACACACACACACACACACACACACACACACACCCACACACCCGCGTTTCAACACACAAACACATGTATTAGCAGGCCTCCAAAATAACAGAACCATGATATACTCTTATTTTATTTTATTTTATCAGACTTTTTTCTTTGTTACTTGTTATATAACATAAAAATCCCAGGCATAAAAATAAGGAAATGGAAACTAAAAGGCATACACTAAACGCCAAATTTAAATTACTTTGTACCGACTTGGTCAATTTCTTAAGTATTTACCACGAAAGAAAACTTTGGGGATAAAAATGAGGTAATTTTAATTAGACATGGTTCAAAATTCTCAAAAAAAGTCCACTCCGACCTGTTAACCACTAGTCAGAAATGCAGTCACAGACCTCCGAAAAGGTTGAAAGCATGCCGCGTATGCTGCGATCAAGCAAAGTTCGAATTTCCTCAACCGGGGGAAGACGAGCAGCCTTTTCCTGCAATTACACAAACCAGCCCAACAGCACTGACGATTCATCTTAATGATGATTCCATCCATCTAGAAGCACCAACAACTAACAAAAAGTGTATATAACTACATCCATGTATAAACACATACAAACATAAAATACCTGATGAGCTTGAATCAACTGAAAGACATCTGCGTCTTTGTTAACATCTCCAGGTGACATTATCTAATTGAAAAGAAACAATTATATGACTTATTTTTCATTATCAGTAAAAAAACCAAAAGGCGGTTCAGTCGGAATTACCTGAGAAGAAGACTGAGCTGCGAAGGTCATGGAAGGAGAAGTACGAGACCGAGTAGTCGAAAGGAAAGAGGAATTTGAAAATCGAAAAGGGAAGAGAGATTGAGGAATTTCATTGACATTCAAGCGAGAAATTAGAGAAAAATTAGAGTGTAACGCCGCAGTCCTCATCTGTAAGCAACCTCCAAATGGCAACATCAAATTTATTTGATATATAAATTATTTGACAGATTTAATTTTTCTAATTTAAAAAATCAGTTACTTGCAGAAAGGAAAAGAAACGGTTGTTTGGAAAGAATGAGAAGAGAGCAGGAGGAGGAAGAAGATGCCCAATCTTCTTGTAGCTCTTTACCAGATGGCTTACCCACTTCTTGATTGAACCAGATTGAGATAAAAATTATAATTATGTATTTATATTGAATAAATTATTATTCTGTTTTTTACTAATTTTATTGAATATGAAGTTAATGAATGATAATAATTTATGAATTTATTGTTTCTTTTAATTTTTATTAATTTCATTAATAAAGATATAATAATAAAAATAATCATTTTCGATAACGTTTACATCCTCTGTATTACTTCGTCTATTGACATAGAGTTAGTCTATACTTATTCCTTATATATTGTTATTGCTTCTTTTTCTTGAAAAGAAGTTCACGACCTGTAGATGTTCTACCTCTACATGGCATTGTTCTATCAAACTTTTGCCAATTACAAAAAATTCTCCATTGTTGCCTCTCGTATGAGTTTGGGTCATATCTCAGTACTAGTGTGACTGATCATCCTCTCGAACCAATTATTGATAATTAGTTTTAACTTTTATTAATTTCATTAATAAAAAAATAATAAAAATGATTATTTGACAAAATTTTATTTCCTTAATGTTTTGGAGAATTTTTTGTAATTTATTATGTCAAAAATGCATAGATTGTACATACTTTCATAAATAAACACAAATAAACATTCAACATACATGAACATTGAGAAATATTATTTTTGATTTATTATCATCTTCATTGTTAACAAACTAGTATAATTTTATAAATGAAATATATTACATAAATTTTAAATTAAAAATAATAAAATATTTTTATATATTAAATTAATTGTTGTTGTAATAGTGATTTATTTTCAAAGTAAAATATTAGATTATATGCACTTTGTAATATATGAATATCATTTTATATGACATATGTAATAACAAGGCCCAAGAGGGAGAAGGGAGCCCAAGCCCATGCCGGGAAAGAAAAAAAGGAGATAAAGAAACCCTAGTAGAAAAAGAAGGAGGAAGAAGGGGGAATGGTGTGCGGCACCTGAGGCCGAGAAAAAAGATGTTAGGCGCGTAGTGTTGGGTGCGTGGCGCGAGCTGCCGAGGAAGAAGAAGAAGAAGAAGAAGAAGAAGAAGAAGAAGAAGAAGAAGAAGAAGAGGAAGAATAAGAAGAGAAAGAAGAAAAAGAGGAAGGAGAAGGAGAAGGAGAAGGAGGAAGGAAGCAGGGTGCGCGATGCTAAGCGTGCGGCGCGCGGTGCTGAGCGCACGACGCGCGATGCGCAATACTTGGCGCGTTGTACCAGGCACGTGATGCGCGTTATTGAGGAAGAAGAAGCAGAACACATGTTAGGTGGACTTGATCCACATGAAATAAACCATGGCGCAATGTTCCAGGTCCGTTCAAAGATTCGTGCAAGGCCAAAAATTAGGAAACCGGAGAGAGAGACTGAAATTGCACTCTTTTGGATAGAAAGCCTGAATTTGACACCGATTTCGGTAAATTTTCTTCCACCTTACATTCGGTTATTACTTTAAATTAAATCATTAATTATGTGTACAAAAATTTTAAGAAAACTGGGAATATGAAACTGAAAAAGGGAGCCGATTGTAAACCAAAATCGTTCGAAAGCTTTGCAATTTCTTCTTTCATTGGAGATCCTAGTAAGAATTAAGTTAGTTCTCATGCGGGGATTTCATGTTTTCATAAAATGATTTATTGATTTCAAAATGGTTAATTTAAAAGTTTGATGGATGATTTAAATGTTGTCTTAAAAAGCATTTTGCAAAGTTTAATAGGTATGTGAGTGAATATGTATTGAGTGTCGGTGTTGTATATGGTATATGTATAAAAATATAGATAAAGATGTCGTGTGAATGAATAGATAAAAATGTAATATACATAGGCTGCTGTTTGTTTAATATATAGGATTCCATCTATAAAAAAGTAGATGGATTCTAGGACGTGTTTACATATGTAGCTATATATATGAGTATGTAATATGTGTTTACATATATATATATATGTTGATACATATGAAGCTGTACGAAAATGTAAATTGATATATATGGATGTTGGTATGAGAGTAAATAGTCCTAGGCATTGAATTTGTATGTGTGCAGGTATAAAATAATATAGGTAGTTACGTAGGTGTAGAAACCACTTATATGCATATTTGAAATGGGAATATAGATGTATGTATTTTGTATGAGTATAAGTGATTTATGTATGTTAAATCATAATTAGATGAAATATGTATATTGTAAGAAAGTATATATATGTACATAATTATAATAGATTTATGGTTAAATATAATTGTGCCAAGATAAATTTAAGTAAGCAATCTATGTAGATATGGATTGCGGTTGCTTATTGCTTACTTAGTACATTGGGTGTATGTTTGATACGATATAAATTATATATATTGGACATATATGTATGCATGTGATTGCTTGCTCAAATGATTTTATGTGAGTAGTTTGTTGTTATGTATACTCATTATGGGTGGAATGAGTGCGCGTCTCAGTTGTGTAAATAGGTGTGTGAGAGTCATGAGATTAGTTGTTGGTTGTGTGATTGAGAATATAAATTGATACCATTGTTGAATGTGAATTTTTCTTCAAAAATATAAATTTAATATTTGGGTAGAAAAAAATAAAATATCAAGAATGTTTGGGTTTCTGAAATTGAGATATGAAATAGAAATAATTTTTAAAGAAGAAAAAGCTTACCGAGTATCATTAGAGCGAGTGTACGGACTTGGTACATAGGGTGAACCTTACCATAGATGTGTCTTCAGTCGTATGGGGTTGAGAAGTCCCATACCGGACATAATTAGAAATTAATTTAATTACGCTCATATTGAACGGGGTATTTAGACGATCTATAATGGTAGCGCCCATTACCGGCCGGGATATGAGAATAACTGATGAACTGTAAAAGAAATATTTGTATATCCGTGTATAGCAGGGATCCCTATGGGCCCCCACTAATACCGGTAAGGAAAATGACAATACGTAATAGAAATGGAAGTGATTTAGATACGTATCTGGTGTGATTGATGATATTTGTGAATAAAACGAAATTATTTGAATATGAATCTAATACGGTATGATGATATTTATAAATGAGAATGATATGTACGGTATCTAGATATAAATATGTTGGAATTGGTAATGAAAAATATGTGGTTCTTGATTGTTTCT